TACTTCCCAGTAAAAGTAGGTCTTAGACAGGGATGTGTAATGTCACCATGGTTGTTTAACCCTTTGACTGTTTTGGTCATATATATACGTGTTACGCGCCACTGTTTCGGATGTATTAATACGCGTAAATTCTAGCGGCTTCAAATCGAACAGGAGAAAGCTGGTAGGCCCACATGTGAGAGAATGGATTTGTGTGGTCAGTGTGCACCACATAAAAAAAAATCCTGCAGCACGTAGTGCATAATGAGAAAAAAAACTGACCATTTTTTGGAATAAAACGCTGAATTTGAGGTGTATTTTCATATAGTATTTATCATTGTATTCTCGTTTTCATGGTCTCACGTGATAAAATGGAAAACATATTACAGAAATAGAGATGATGTTGATTAGTTTCACGATGAAAACAACCTTGAAATTGAGCTCAAGGTAGTGGAAATATTCGATTTTTACCAATGTTCAGGAGTAAGCAAATCACACCACACATTCAATACATGTCAACTGGAGAGTCTAATATTCTTTCACTAGTGCACTGATATTATTTGTACCATTTTTACAATAATGCAGTAGTCTGCATTATTGTATTTTTTGTATGAATAAGAAATCAAAATAGAAAGCAAGAGTAATAAAAGAGGGGCCTAGAGACATGACTGATGAACAGAGGATATGGTATTTTAGTGCCAATAATGTCTACATTGTTTATTCTAGACCCTATTTTGAAATTGGCATCTTTTTTAATTTGCATGAAATTGGCCAAATTGCCAATTTCTGACCACTTAAAATGGTAAATGAGCAGTTTCTTGTACTCAGCTGATAGAAAAAATGGAGTTCTAAAGAAATAGCTGAGTTTGGTCAACTGGAACAACAGAATTGGCCAAAAACAGGGCTCAAAGTCGGCAAAATCGCCGATGCGTATATGTTGCTGAGACCGCTAACTTCACGGGAGCGTAATTCGTGAATTTTCAATCAAATTTCGTACTTTTGATGTCATTACCTTTGGAAAAAGATTCTCTATCATTTCATAAGAAAAAATAAATTTTTTTTCTCCAAAAATTTTGCAACATAGAACGAGTTTCAGAAAGGGGCTTGCGACAGTCAAAGGGTTAACATATTTATAGATGGGCTTGTAAAAGAAGTAGATGCTAGGGTGTTCGGGAAAGGGGTGGGATTAAATTATGGGAAATCAAATTCAAAATGGGAATTGACAGTTACTTTTTGCTGATGATACTGTGCTTATGGGAGATTCTAAAGAAAAATTGCAAAAGTTAGTAGACGAGTTTGGGAATGTGTGTAAAGGTAGAAAGTTGAAAGTGAACATAGAAAAGAGTAAGGTGATGAGAGTATCAAATGATTAAGATAAAAATTGGATATCAAATTGGGGAGGAGGAGTATGGAAGAAGTGAATGTTTTCAGATACGTATTTGGGAGTTGACGTGTCAGCGGATGGATTTATGAAGGATGAGGTTAATCATAGAATTGATGAAGGAGAAAAGGTGAGTGGTGCATTGAAGTATATGTGGAGACAAAAAATGTTATCTATGGCGGCAAAGAAGGGAATGTATGAAAGTAACGTAGTACCAACACTCTTATATGGGTGTGAAGCTTGGGTTGTAAATGCTGCAGCAAGAAGGCGATTGGAGGCAGTGGAGATGTCCTGTCTAAGGGCAATGTGTGGTGTGAATATTTTGCAGAAAATTTGAAGTGTGGAAATTAGGAGAAGGTGTGGAATTAACAAAAGTATTAGTCAGAGGGCAGAAGAGGGGTTGTTGAAGTGGTTTGGTCATTTAGAGAGAATGGATCAAAATAGAATGATATGGAGAGCTTATAAATCTGTAGGGGATGGAAGGCAGGGCAGGGGTCGTCCTCGAAAAGGTTGGAGGGAAGGGGTAAAGGAGGTTTTGTGGGCAAGGGGCTTGGACTTCCAGCAAGTGTGCGTGAGCATGTTCGATAGTAGTGAATGGAGACGAATGGTATTTGGGACCTGATGAGCTGTTGGAGTGTGAGCAGGGTAATATTTAGTGAAGGGATTCAGGGAAACCTGTTATTTTTATATAGCCGGACTTGAGTCCTAGAAATGGGAAGTACAATGCCCTGCATTAAAGAGGATTTGGGTATTGGAGTTTGAAGGATATGTTGTGTTCTTTTCATTATGCTTTACTTTGTATTTGGCACCCTGCCTTGGTGTAAGTGTGAGTGTTAAAAAATAAAAATTGAGCACAGTCTTTTCTTTTGGGATTTTCTTGGCTGTACCTGCTTGGTGGACGCAGTACGCAGTCTGTAAAGTTTGATGACTTTTTACATAGTCGTATTTGCTATGGCTATGGCCTCTGCATCAGTTTTTTCTTTTTTATCAATTTCATTTTTTTAAATTGTATTATTTTCTGTTTATTTTTTTCTATTATTTTGTTTTGATGAACTAAACTTACAGTACAAGAGTATTTTGTACTGTTCTTCACAGATTAAGCCTTAAACTGTCCAAATGTTGATCTATGTTTTCACTGTCAGTTCTCCAAGTATTTTGAATTTTTTTTTTTTTTAATTTAAGAGGGCAATTTTCTGTGTTATAAGTTCCCCCCAAAAATTTTAGGTCCAGTACTTGCTGAGATATAAGACCACGAAGTTGGCGCTGGATGCTCACCTGACGACAACATCAAGTCCTACCGCTTGCAGAGGTGTTGACGATATACCTTTTTTTCTCGTTTTTATTTTAATTTATATATTTTTTATGTTCTGATAATTACAATTTATAATAGTTCTTGTGATTTCATAGCCAATCTTTGCTCTGACACTAATATTAGGTACTGAAATAGTACTCAAATAGTCAGTCACACTGACAGATGTACATTTTCACCTGCCTTGGTCATTTACTGTTGTCTAGAAATATATACAAAGTATTCATAGGTCTCAGCAATGTTTTAGACATGCTGGAGTATATATGAAACTCCTTGAACCATTGTGTTTATGATGAGTGTCAATAAACTACTGGCATTGCAGAGTGTAGTATCATATCTTCCACTGTGGAGTGACACTGATGATCATGCACTTGTCCAGGGAACCCTGGCTTTATTTGTTTTCACTGTTAAACACAAACATATCTGTCTGTCTGTGTCTATCTGTCTCTGTCTGTCAAGCTCTGCTTATCTGTTTGTATAGCTCTGCTTATTTGTCTTTCTGTCTGCCTATGTGTGTGTGTGTTTTTCCGTCTGCTTGTCTCTGTCTCAGAGAGCAGCTCATAAACCAACAGGTATTACACGTGATGCAAAGTTATCACGTCTCATTCCTGATCAAGTAAAAAATGTGTATTACTTGCCAGTCATACTCATTATGTTTTATATCTACAAGCACTGTATAGCACTTTGCTTGGAAATTTTGGGTTATCCTAGGTAATTTACACTATGTATAATAACTGTACTTATGTGTACCTCAGAGACAAAGATAGAGACAGACAGAGATATAGACAGATATAGACAGAGAAAGATACAAACAGAGAGACAGCCAAAGTCAGTCAGCCAGCCAGCTAGCTAGCTAGCTAGCTAACCAACCAACCAACCAGTCAGCCAGCCAGCCAGCTGGCCAGCCAGCCAGCCGGTCAGCCTGCTGAATACGTATTACACATGTTCCAGAATCTTCTTTTTACTCAAGACATAGGTGATAGGACATTCTGGCAGGATGACACTACCAGTGGTTTCAGAAATGAAAGGATATTTCACATGGGTTATTATCGAGGTTTTTGATGTTTCCTTGACCACTTGTGGCCACATCCATCTCAAAGCCACTAAACTCTGGGTCAGCATCACTTTCCTCATAAAAGGGGAGTGTTAATATGACATAACATCAGTGAATCCCTGGTGTTTGCCATGCTATTTGCTCTAGCTGGCACTCAATTGAGCTGGTGCTCCCACAAGGTACTAAGTGGTCCCAGATCTTTTTAATACTGTGCACACCAAGTGTTAAGACCCATTCTGTGTTGACCAGGCATCTCAGGCCAATCGTGCTAAATTTAAAGGCAGGAAAAATAAAACGTAGATCTACGTTTGGACAGTTTAAGGGTTAATAAATTGTTTCATCGAGACTTTCTGTGTAATGGATATTTGCATATCTTTCTTGTATGGATCACCCTTCCTCAGTGGGAGAAGGCCGACATATTGAAAAAAAAAAACTACATTTCTCATTTTTTTTGCATGTTTTTATTTTGAGTTGAATGTTGCTGTTGTAGTTTAAATTTTCATTTATTTAAAATATTAGTTTTTATGTTGCTCATCAGGGATATGCAAACTCCAGAAGTAATGCAATCATTATAGTATATGCAAGCTTCAGGAGTTGCCAGAAATGATACGGGCCCATGCACAAGTGGATAGACTTATAGTTTAAATTAAGTATCATTTGACAACATACATGAGCAAGAGTGGGAAAAAATAAAAAGGTAATTAATTAACAGCAGAACAACAAGTATTGATAACCATGCATTCAGGATTGATATTTGATGAGGACTCCCAGATCTGCTTTCACAGATATTGCTGTAGTTCACAAAGAAAAATAATTGTAAAGAACTACCTTTGAACTATAAACATCTCAACTGCAAACAGACTAAAATGACTGGCTAACAGTAATAGAAAGCCAAGCTAAAGCTTATCCTTCATGCAGATAAAAAGTTAAATTCTTTAAATTCAACATCATTATGTGGTGCATCAAGACACAGAAATGTACAATGCAGCCTAAACAATTTGAAATAAAATTTAATTACTGTAGCATATTAGGTACAGTACTGTATGTACAATAATTTAAGAAATGTTTGCATTTGAGGTTGGGACTGTATATAATTGACAGATTTTGTTGTAAATGAAATACGTACAGTAAGTGCAGCAGTAGAGTTACCAAATGCTATATAAAACATATGGATTTAATATTTCCTTTTAGAAATAATAATAATAATATGTACCAGTCAGGAGCTTACCTTCACTACATATAAATACAGCATAATATTTGCTTCCGCCATTGTACAGCCTGTCCTTGTAAACCTGCCTGTGGTGGAGGTATGGAGTAAAGCTGCTGTGGGCACATACCTATGGCAGCATGTCTTGGAGGGCCGAGAGAGCTTGGACGAGACAATACCAGGAGCCACTATTGGTGAACTAAGGATGCCAGCATTTGTTCTCAGATATAGATCAGGTAAAATAAATGTGGTGTGGGACTATGTTTTTAACTCTTAAATTAAAATTTTCAGTGACTTATCTATACAGTCTTATTGCATTACTTCATTACTCATTTACATTTTTGTTATTAATGTAGGTGTGTGGGTGTATGGGTTGGTGTTGGGGTTGGTGTTGGGGTGGGTTTATGGGTGGGTAGGTGTGGGTACTCGCCTGTTTGTGGTTGCAGGGGTTGATTCACAATGCCTGGCCCTGCCTCTTTGCTGACTCCGGGACTAGTCTTGTTGCAAACTTTTTGCACTTTCTCCAATTTCTTGATGTGTTTGATTAAGCATGAATTCCATACTGGTGTGTTATACTTCAATATGGGTCTGATGTACATGGTGCACAGTGTCGTAAATCACTCCTTACTTAGATGTTGAAATGCTATTTTTAGATTTACCCATATTCTGTAGCAGTTATTTGGTTGTTGTATGCCTCAGGAGGTATATTCGGTATGATGTTCACCCTAAGATCCTTTTATTGAGTAAGTTTTGCAGCCTTTGACTCCCCTAGGTTGCACTCTGTCCGTGCCGTCTTTGTCCTTCCACAAGCTTCACGACTTTGCATTTTGTGGGCTTAAACTCGAAGAGCCATTTGTTGGACAGACTTGCAGCCTGTGTAGATTCTCTTGTAGACTTACTTAACCCTTTGAGGGTCGACAGGCCCTCTCCGAAACTTGTTCTCAGGGTCGGCCAAATTTCAAAAAAAAAAAAAATTGTTTTTTTCTTATGAAAAGATAGAGAATCTTTTCCCGATCATAATGACACCAAAAGTATGAAATTTGATGGAAAACTTAAGGAATTATGCTCTTGCGAAGTTAGCAGTCTTGACGATGTTTACGTATCGGCGATTTTGCCCACTTTGAGCCCTATTTTCGATCAATTCCAATGTACTAGTTGACAAAAATCATAACTATTTCGCTAGAACTCCATTTTTTCTATCGAATGAGTACAAGAAACCACCCATTTACCAATTTCAACCATCCAATAAAGTGGTCAGAATTTAGCAATTTTGCCAATTTCACACAAATTTCAAAAGATGCCAATTTCTGAATAGGGTCCAGAATAAACAAAAAAGACATTCCTGGCACTAAAATAACAAGTTCTCTGTTCGTTAGTCACATCCCCAGGCCTCTCTTATATTTCTTTGGCTTTCCACTTTGAATTTTTATTCTTACAAAAAATAGAAGATTTACTGTTATGCAGACTACTGCATTAGTGTAGAAATGGTATAAATAATATCAGCGCACTTGTGAAAGAATATTAGACTCACCAGTTGACGTGTATTGGACGCTTGGCATTTGTTTACTTTTGAGCTTTGATAAAAATCGAAGATTTCTGCTACTTTGCACTCAATTTCAAGGTACTTTTCATTGTAAAACCAGTCAAAATCACCTAAATTTCTGGAACATGTCTTCCATTCTATAAAATGAGACCAAGAAAACTAGAATACAACAATAAATACCATACAAAAATACAGTGCAAAGTCGCTGTTTTATTCCAAAAACACGGTCAAAGTTTTTTTTTTTCTCATTACATACTGTGTGCTGCAGGATTTTTTTTGTACTGCACACACTGACCACATAGACCCATTCTTTCATATGTAGGCCTTCCAGCTTTCTCTCATTAGATTTGAAGGCACTGGAATTTAGGCGTACTAGTACGTCAAAAACCCTGGGTCGTAAGCCGTACTAATACGGACGAAACCCTCAAAGGGTTAATCCTCATCCACTTGTGGTTGCAGGGGCTGAGTCATAGCTCCTGGCTCTGCCTCTCCACTGGTCACCACTAGGCCCACTCTCTCCCTGCTCCATGAGCTTTATCATACCTCATCTTAAAGATATGTATGGTACCTGCCTCCACTACCTCACTTTCCAGACTATTCCACTTCCTGACAACTCTGTGGCTGAAGAAATACTTCCTAACATCCCTGTGACTCATCTGAGTCTTCAGCTTCCAATTGTGACCCCTTGTTGCCATGTCCCATCTCTGGAACATCCTGTCGCTATCCACGTTGTCGATTCCTCTCAGTATTTTATGTCGTTGTCATGTCCCTTCTGTCCTCCATACACACGTGCGTGTGCATGTGATTATGCACTGGTTTGTGTGTTTGTGTGTACATGCATGTGTGTGTGTGTATGTAAAGTGATTGTTTAGTGAACCAAATGAACAAACTCTATTTTTATAAAGTGGAGTACAGTATATTATACAATTAGGGTGAGTGACTTTTTTTCTTTTTTTCAACACGTCGGTCATCTCCCATCAATGTAAGGTGACCCAAAAAGAAAGAAAATCCCCAAAAAGAACTTGCTTTCATCATTATTCAACACTTTCACCTCATTTACACATAATCACTGTCTTTGCAGAGGAGTTTACCTGGAGAGAGTTTCGGGGGTCAACGCCCCCGCGGCCCGGTCTGTGACCAGGCCTCATATATGTGACATATTTTTTTTTTTTTTTTCAACAAGTCGGCCGTCTCCCACCAAGGCAGGGTGACCCAGAAAAGAAAGAAAATCCCCAAAAAGAAAATACTTTCATCATCATTCAACACTTTCACCTCACTCACACATTATCACTGCTTTTGCAGAGGTGCTCAGAATACAACAGCTTAGAAGCATATACGTATAAAGATACACAACATATCCCTCCAAACTTTCCAATATCCCAAACCCCTCCTTTAAAGTGCAGGCATTGTACTTCCCATTTCCAGGACTCAAGTCTGACTATATGAACATAACCGGTTTCCCTGAATCCCTTCACTAGATATTACCCTGCTTACACTCCAACAGATCGTCAGGTCCCAAGTATCATTCGCCTCCATTCACTCCTATCTAACACGCTCATGCACGCTTGCTGGAAGTCCAAGCCCCTAGCCCACAAAACCTCCTTTACCCCCCCTTTCCAACCCTTTCGAGGACGACCCTACCCCTCCTTCCTTCCCTATAGATTTATATGCTTTCCATGTCATTCTACTTTGGTCCATTCTCTCTAAATGACCAAACCACCTCAACAACCCCTCTTCTGCCCTCTGAACTAATACTTTTATTAACTCCACACCTTCTCCTAATTTCCACACTCCGAATTTTCTGCATAATATTTACACCACACATTGCCCTTAGACAGGACATCTCCGCTGCCTCCAACCGTTCCTCGCTGCTGCATTTACCACCCAAGCTTCACAATCCATAAAGAGTGTTGGTACACTATACTTTCATACATTCCTTCTTTGCCTCCATAGATAACGTTTTTTGACTCCACATATACCTCAACGCACCACTCACCTTTTTTCCCTCATCAATTCTATGATTAACCTCATCCTTCATAAATCCATCTGCCGACACGTCAACTCCCAAGTATCTGAAAACATTCACTTCTTCCATACTCCTCCTCCCCAATTTGATATCCAATTTTTCTTTATCTAAATCATTTGATACCCTAAATCAACTTTCTACCTTTATACACATTCTCAAACTCATCCACTAACCTTTGCAATTTTTCTTTAGAATCTCCCATAAGCACAGTATCATCAGCAAAAAGTAACTGTGTCAATTCCCATTTTGAATTTGATTCCCCATAATTTAATCCCACCCCTCTCCCAAACACCCTAGCATTTAGTTCTTTTACAACCCCATCTATAAATATATTAAACAACCATGGTGACATTACACATCCCTGTCTAAGACCTACTTTTACCGGGAAGTATTCTCCCTCTCTTCTACACACCCTAACCTGAGCCTCACTATCCTCATAAAAGCTCTTTATATCATTTAGTAACTTACCACCTATTCCATATACTTGCAACATCTGCCACATTGCTCCTCTATCCACTCTATCATATGCCTTTTCTAAATCCATAAATGTAATAAAAACTTCCCTACCTTTATCTAAATACTGTTCACGTATATGCTTCAATGTAAACACTTGATCTACACATCCCCTACCCACTCTGAAGCCTCCCTGCTCATCTGCAATCCTACATTCTGTCTTACCTCTAATTCTTTCAATTATAACCCTTCCGTATACTTTTCCTGGTATACTCAGTAAACTTATTCCTCTATAATTTTTACAATCTCTTTTGTCCCCTTTCCCTTTATATAAAGGGACTATACATGCTCTCTGCCAATCCCTAGGTACCTTCCCCTCTTTCATACATTTATTAAACAAAAGTACCAACCACTCTTACACTATATCCCCCCCTGCTTTTAACATTTCTGTCACGATCCCATCAGTTCCAGCTGCTTTACCCACTTTCATTCTACGTAATGCCTCACGTACCTACACCACACTTACATTCTGCTCTTCTTCACTCCTAAAAGATGGTATACCTCCCTGGCCAGTGCATGAAATTACCTCCTCCCTTTCTTCCTCAACATTTAAAAGTTCCTCAAAATATTCTCCCCATCTACCTAATACCTCCCTCTCCCCATCTACTAACTCCCCTACTCTGTTTTTAACTGACAAATCCATACTTTCCCTAGGCTTTTCTAACTTGTTTAACTCACTCCAAAATTTTTTCTTATTTCATTAAAATTTCTTGACAGTGCCTCTCCCACTCTTTCATCTGCTCTCCTTTTGTACTCTCTCACCACTCTCTTCACCTTTCTTTTACTCTCCATATACTCTGCTCTTCTTATAACACTTCTGCTTTGTAAAAACCTCTCATAAGCTACCTTTTTTTCTTTTATCACACCCTTTACTTCATCATTCCACCAATCGCTCCTCTTGCCTCCTGCCCCCACCCTTCTATAACCACAAACTTCTTCCCCACATTCTAGTACTGCATTTTTAAAACTATTCCAACCCTCTTCAACCCCCCACTACTCATCTTTGCACTAGCCCACCTTTCTGCCAATAGCCGCTTATACAGTGGACCCCCGCTTAACGATCACCTCCAAATGCGACCAATTATGTAAGTGTATTTATGTAAGTGCGTTTGTACGTGTATGTTTGGGGGTCTGAAATGGACTAATCTACTTCACAATATTCCTTATGGGAAAAAATTCGGTCAGTACTGGCACCTGAACATACTACTGGAATGAAAAAAGTTCGTTAACCGGGGGTCCACTGTATCTCGCCTGAACTTCCTCCTCCCTTAGTTTATACACTTTCACCTCCCTCTTACTTGTTGTTGCCACCTTCCTCTTTTCCCATCTACCTCTTACTCTAACTGTAGCTACAACTAAATAATGATCCGATATATCAGTTGCCCCTCTATAAACATGTACATCCTGTAGCCTACCCATCAACCTTTTATCCACCAATACATAATCTAACAAACTACTTTCATTACGTGCTACATCATAACTTGTATATTTATTTATCCTCTTTTTCATAAAATATGTATTACTTATTACCAAATTTCTTTCTACAAATAGCTCAATTAAAGGTTTGGGATATTGGCAGTTTGGAGGGATATGTTGTGTATCTCTATACGTATATGCTTCTAAACTGTTGTATTCTGAGCACCTCTGCAAAAGCAGTGATAATGTGTGTGTGTGGTGAAAGTGTTGAATGATGATGAAAGTATTTTCTTTTTGGGGATTTTCTTTCTTTTTTTTTTTGGGTCACCCTGCCTCGGTGGGAGACGACCGACTTGTTGAAAAAAAAAAAAAAAAATCCCAAATTTACCTACTACTCCCTCTATAACATTTTTACCCACTTTAGCATTGAAATCCCCAACCACCATTACTCTCACACTTGATTCAAAACTCCCCATGCATTCACTCAACATTTCCCAGAATCTCTCTCTCTCCTCTACACTTCTCTCTTCTCCAGGTGCATACACGCTTACTATAACCCACTTTTCACATCCAATCTTTATTTTACTCCACATAATCCTTGAATTTATACATTTGTAGTCCCTCTTTTCCTGCCATAGCTTATCCTTCAACATTATTGCTACTCCTTCTTTAGCTCTAACTCTATTTGAAACCCCTGACCTAATCCCATTTATTCCTCTCCACTGAAACTCTCCCACCCCCTTCAGCTTTGTTTCACTTAAAGCCAGGACATCCAGTTTCTTCTCATTCATAACATCCACAATCATCTCTTTCTTATCATTTGCACAACATCCATGCACATTCAGACTTCCCACTTTGACAATTTTCTTCTTCTTATTCTTTTTAGTAATCTTTACAGGAAAGAGAACTCAGATGAGTGTGTATAAATAAACGTGTACATGCATGTGTAGTGTGACCTAAGTGTAAGTAGAAGTAGCAAGACATACCTGTAATCTTGCATATTTATGAGACAGACAAAAGACATCAGCAATCCTACCATCATGTAAAAAAATTACAGGCTTTCGTTTTACACTCACTTGGCAGGACAGTAGTACCTCCCTGGGTGGTTGCTGTCTACCAACCTACTTCCTTTGAAATAAGGATTTTCATTTTATTTAATTACTGAATACCTTCAATATATTGTAAACTAAGTTTTCTTATTCTCATGCACTGTATGTGTCATTGTCTTGTAATTATAAGTTAACTTTAAGGCTGCCTTAAATGCTTTGAATTACCATTGTGAGACCTCTACCCACTCTACCTGAGGTATCCCAGCGAGTGAGCACTTCTCCTGTATATCCCAGTGCTTAACAGAATAGGGAATAGCATATGAAGGTACAAAATAAAAATGGGAACTATGGCTATAGTTTACTTAATAACATAAAAGGGCTAGAATACAACATATCCTGATGGAAATTTACACAATATAACAATTGACCTATGAGACTTATTACCAGGGGGAAGGGTAGATGTTATCAGTAACACGGACTAGTACTCACTCTTAATTCACCGACCAGCTGACCCGAGATTCCCAATGCGTGGTCCACTACACACGCGGCTGTCCAGAGCTCTCGCTTCCCGGACCTGTCACCAACAACCCCCTTTGCTCCGCTGTTCCCTGGGCTTATATCGTAGTCAAAGTACCCCCTCCCCAATGGGGTATGTACCACGTGTTACGACCTGACGCCGAGGTCTGACGCCGTTAAGGAGAAAAGACCTCAGACGTGGGCGTGACTACCCGACATTTGCTAAGGCAGGTGTGACCATATAATTAGGTCTCCCTAGAGACCTCACAAGCCCATCTGAACTGCATCACACCATAATTGTATACTGTACAGTATACCACTTTATAGAAATAAAATTTTTGCTTTTTAAACACTTAAGATGCAATTTTTAGGAACATATTATAGTCATAATATATTATTGAACTTCTGCTCTGTTGTGGAATGAAGTACACAAACTTTTACTTGTGCATGTTTGCCACATGAGTCAAGATGCTCTCCTAACAAATTATATTTCACATGGTGCTTCATTTGAGCTAATAAATTTATGTCGGGCTCAGTTGCCCACATGGCTGTATATTTATGTGGCACAAAATTTAAGTGTTATAAATGGTTGAATGGAAAGATTTATTTGTACTTTACCAGTACGTGGAAAATACTACAAATAAGATATTTTTTGATATTTGTTTTTTAGAGAAGATTGTCGTATTGTCCTCTTTTATTAACCCCTTCAGGGTCCAAGGCCCAAATCTGAAGTGGTGCCCCAGTGTCCAAGAATTTTCAAAAAAAAAACTTGTTATTTTTCTTATGAAATGGTAGAGAATCTTTTTGTGAAGGTAATAAAATAAAAAGTACGAAATTTGATGGAAAATTGACGAAATTATGCTCTCGCGAATTTTGATGTGTCAGCGATATTTACGAATCGGCGATTTTGCCGACTTTGACTCCCATTTTAGGCCAATTACATTATTCCAGTCAACCAAATTCTTAGCTATTTCACTAGTTTTACTTCTATTCTATCGATTGAGCACAAGAAATCGCCAAGTCAACTGTTTCAACTACAAATTAAAGTGATCGGAAATTGTTAATTTGGCCAATTTAACACAAAGTTCAAAATATTCCAATTTCAAAATAGGGTCCAGAATAAACAATGTAGGTATTCCTGGAACTAAACTAACATTTCCTCTGTTCATTAGTTACGTTTTGAGGCTTTACAAATAAATTCCATTTTGATTTTTTATTCACATAATGAATTTTTATTCACACCAAAAAATAGAAGATTTACTGTTAAGCAATAATGTAATAATTGTATAAATATCATCACCATATTTGTGAATGCATATTAGACCCACCAGCTGGCGTGTATTAGACGTGTGAGGTCGTTTGTTTACTCTTGAATATCGGCAAAAATTTAACGTTTCTGCTACTTTGAGCTCAGTTTCAAGCCATTTCCAGTGCTAAAACCAATCAAAATCATCTCTATTTCTGTAATATGTCTTCCATTCTATCAAATGAGACCAAGAAATCACAAATAGAACTATAAAAAACATACGAAAAAACACTGCAAAGTTGCTGTTTTAATCGAAAAATCATGATTTCAGTTTTTTTTCTCTCATTATACACAGCATGCTGCAGGATCTGTTTTATGTGGTGCACACATACCACATAGATGTATTCTCTCATATCTAGGACCAAATGTACCACTCACAGTTTATCAGAGTGAGCTGAGCTCATGACGTAGATCTACAGTTTGGACCCTGAACGTAAAGCCGTAGATCTACGGGACGGACCCTCAAAGGGTTAAGTTTTATAATGTTTAATTTCACTTTTCAGGTCCTGGAATCATTACAGATACTGTGCCACATGATGTGAAGAATTTGGTATTAGTTGTAAATGGCCGCACCGAAGAGAAAGTGAAAGACGCAAGACACTGGCTTGACTATATACAGTCATGGGAAACTCCACCTGTCACTATATTGGTCATGTTGGGGAATGAGGTAAGATTTACTTATGGAATGAGGAAGATTCACTATTAGAAATAATGTGATGTTCATTTGTTGGGGACTCATTTAAAGTTCATTACTGGAAAATGAGGCAAGACTCCTTTGTTGAGGAAAGGCAAGACTCCTTTGTTGGGGAATGAGGCAAGGCCTTTTTTATCGAGGAATGAAGTACTACTTGAGTGACGGGAATTGACTGGAAAAATACTTCATACATTATCGGTTGTATAAAGTGTATGCAGCATACATTGCTAGCATTTTTTCTTAAACATGTTGGCAGTTTCCCATCGAGGCAGGGCGACCTAAAAAGAAGGAAAGAAACTTTCATCATCATTCAATGCTTTCACCATCACTCATACATAATCACTGTCTTTGCAGAGGTGCTCAGATGACAGCTTAGACATTCCTCCAAACTGCCAATATCCCAAACCCCTTCTTTAACCCTTCAGGGTCCAAGGCCAAAATCTGAAGTGGCTGACATGACTCAAGAAATCGTAATGACACGATTGCAAACAAACCATACCCCCGGCTGGGATTGAACCCGCAGTCATAGTCTCAAAACTCCAGCCCGTCGCGTTAGCCACTAGACCAGCTAGCCACAATAAGATTCATCCAACTAGGTATATTTCTACACCATAGGAAGGTTAGCACAGGCACCACTGTGACCACAAATGCAAATTTTTACAGACGAATCTCCAGCTAGCGTGGCTAACGCGACGGGCTGGAGTTTTGAGACTCTATGACCGCGGGTTCAATCCCGGCCGGGGGTATGGTTTGTTTACAATCGTGTCATTACGATTTCTTGAGTCATGTTGACGGCAGTGAAGGGACTTGAGCTAGAGTTCGTCACGGCCACGCTAGCTGGAGATTCGTCTGTGAAAATTTGCATTTGTGGTCACAGTGGTGCCTGTGCTAACCTTCCTATGGTGTAGAAATATACCTAGTTGGATGAATCTTATTGTGGCTAGCTGGTCTAGTGGCTAACGCGACGGGCTGGAGTTTTGAGACTCTATGACCGTGGGTATGGTTTGATCTGAAGTGGTGCTCCAGTGTCCAAGAAATTTTGAAAAAAAAAAAAAATATTTTTTCTTACAGAATTAGAGTATATTTTTGTGAAGGTAATAAGACAAAAAAAAGTTTTTTCTGATCAGTACTTACCGAGATACAGCGGTGGGAAGTTGACCCAAAATGACCGGGTGGTGGCAACATCAGTGACTTCCGCAAAATCCCATTTTTTTATTTTATGTTTTTTTATACTTTTTTCTTTTCTTTTCTAATTTTTTCTTTTTCTAATAACATTTGTGGCCTGTGAGACCAGTATAATGTATATTGTATAAGTGTACACTCATTGTATTCAACACAATAACTGCACTAATTTGTTTATCATTATATTGCTTACAAAACTTGTTTACAAGTTTATTGTAAACAAAATGATGAAAATATTAGTGCGGTTATTGTGTTGAATACAATGGTACCATATGGTACAATATGGTACAATGGCACATGATACAATGGTACCATATAGTACCATATGGTACAATGGTGCAATAGGGTGCAATGGTACCATAGGGTGCAATGGTACAATATGGTACAATAGCATCATATGATACAATGGTACCATATGGTACAATATGGCACAATGGCACATGATACAATGGTACCATATGATACAATGGTACCACATGGTAGAATGGCACCATTTCTCAGTAGTAGTAAACAGTTACCAGTAACCACTGTGCCAGTTGACTCACGACCAACCGTCTCTGCCTGAGTCACTGTCTGAACTCATATTGTGCTGACCTGGCAGTATTCAAAGACCCCCTCACATATGGGTACTGTGGGCGGCCAGGCAGTCAGTGTTACGAGAGGAGCAAGGAGACAAGGTACGGCTGTAAGGGCGTTCCCCACATTATCTGTAATTATACGTACTACCAGCCTACGTGAGTACAGTGGACCCCCGGTTAACGATATTTTTTTCACTCCAGAAGTATGTTCAGGTGCCAGTACTGACCGAATTTGTTCCCATAAGAAATATTGTGAAGTAGATTAGTCCATTTCAGACCCCCAAACATACACGTACAAACGCACTTACATAAATACACTTACATAATTGGTCACATTCGGAGGTAATCGTTATCCGGGGGTCCACTGTATTTCTTTACCCAATCCACGTGTCGAACTCCCACATGATATCGCATTTAGATCATATGAAGTTAGTATGTGATGATAATGATGTTCCAACCCAGACTAATGTGACAGACTCTGACAATCCTCCTGATCCTGTACTCTCTTCCTCTGATACTCAGTCAGACGATCAACCTGAATGTCGTTATTCCCTACGTACACGACAGGTATTGAGAAATCCTCAAGTATCATTTGTAACTTCCAATTCAGATTTGCCTCAAATACAGCATGAGTTAGCCAATGCAACAGAGTTTGATCCTCCCAGAGATGACACCCATTCTGCATATGTCAATCTCACCCTAGCAGAGTTGGGGTTAAATGTAAATAACCTGTATAGATGAATAATTACAGTATCAACTTATCAGTATTCAAGAATTTTTTTTTGTGTTCATGTTCTCTCCGCATTTGAGAGTTAACAGTCTAGATTTGAGTGCACCGAATCTGCCTTTCTGTTAAAAAACTCTTTCTTTGTATTTTATTCCCCTCAGAATCCGTAGATCACATGAATACAGATCGATCGATCAAATTTTTTTTTATCACTTCTATTGTGTAATCTCAACGTTGAGTTTTAAGTTGTGCTATATTATTTCCTTGTATTGCATTACAGTTTCAGTTACGTAAGCTTCCATTCCAATGTTCTACTTATGTATGTTATAATGTTTAATTGTTGTGTACTTTGACATTGTATAGAATCAGCCCAAGCCGTATACCTCCACTCTAGTTTGTATTAGTGTATGTCGGGACGACATACGTTGCGCGCCGAGCTCTCAGTATAGTAACCAGTTACCAGTAACCACTGTGCCAGTTGACTCACGACCAACCGTCTCTGCCTGAGTCACTGTCTGAACTCATATTGTGCTGACCTGGCAGTATTCAAAGACCCCCTCACATATGGGTACTGTGGGCGGCCAGGCAGTCAGTGTTACGAGAGGAACAAGGAGACAAGGTACGGCTGTAAGGGCGTTCCCCACATTATCTGTAATTATACGTACTACCAGCCTACGTGAGTATTTCTTTACCCAATCCACGTGTCGAACTCCCACATGATACATTTGGTACAATGGTACCATATGATACAATGGTACCATATGGTGCAATGGTATCTTATGGTACCATATGGTACCATATGATGCAACAGTACCATATGGTACATTGTACCATACAGTACAATGATACCATATGGTTCATTGTACCATATGGTACTGTTGTATTCAACACACTAATATTTTCATTATTATTTTGGTTACAATAGTTGTTTACAACAAAAATATGCAAAAATGTTGTATATTAGTAAAGTTCTATTATATATTTACAAGTGTACAGGAACTTTACGTGTTTCCTTGAGGGGATGGGCAAAGCACTTTTTTCTCGGAAAATGCGGAGTCAGTAGCTAGCTTGTGTTGCCACTCACTCAGTCCCTTTCCTGGTGTCTCATGCCACCAACACCTATTGACCATATGGTACACGGTATATTTTACAGGGTTTCCATATGGGACATTTACTATATGGTAAAGGGTACCATGCAGTACAGGATAACATATGGTGCAGGGGACCATATGGTACAGGTACCATATGTGCAGGGTACCATATGGTGCAGGGTAACCATATGGTGCAGGGTACCATATGGTGCAGGGTACCATATGGTGCAGGGTACCATAATGGGGCAGGGTACCATATGGTACAGATACAGGGGTAACTATAGAAATAAGTCACCCTGACTTATTGCATTATCCTAGGATTTTATACATAGCTACTATGTATGATAATCTATGTAATTGTATTTCTGTACACCTGAATAAACTTATTCAAGTGCATGTGGCATCGTAAGTAAGTTTATTTAGTTATACACAAATAAAGTTACATAGAATATCATACTTAGCAGCATATGTTTGGAGAACCTAGGATAACCCAAAAAAGTTAGACAGATTTATTTCCATTAGGGTCCCTGTACCCTGTACCATATGGTACAATGTACTATATGGTACAATGTACTATATGGTACAATGTACTATACGTACATTGTACCATATGGTACCATTGTACCATATACCATTGTACCATATGGTACCATTGTACCATATACCATTGTACCATATGATACCATTGTACCATATGGCACAATGGTACCATATGGTTCAAAACCATAGAATTCGTCTTCAGCTCCACTTCCATCAGTCTTAGAACTGTAAGTTGTGAAGAGGAGAGTCAGAATTCGCCCGGAGAGTGAGTGGGGAGTGAGAGCATCTTGCCGCCAGGCACTATGAACAAAGCTACTTTGCCGGCGTTCCCACAATGCCATGTGGGCATCCAGATTTTTTCTATGGTGTGCACACTGACCACCCAGACCCATTCTCTTAGATGTAGGCCTACCAGCCTTCTCATGCTAAATTTGACGGCGCTAGAGTTTTGGCGTAGATCTACGGTTTGGACCCTGAACGTAAAGCCGTAGATCTACGGGACGGACCCTGAAAGGGTTAAAGTGAAGGCATTGTACTTCCCATTTCCAGGACTCAAGTTCGGCTAACTGGTTTCACTGAATCCCTTCACAAAATATTACCCTGCTCACACTCCAACAGCTCATGAGGTCACAAAAACCATTCAGCTCCCTTTGCTCCTATCTAACACACTGATGCACACTTGCTGGAAGTCCAAGCCCCTCGCCCACAAAACCTCCTTTACCTCCTCGCTCCAACCTTTTCGGGGTTGACCCCTACCCCGCCTTCCTTCCCCTACAGATTTATGCACTCTCCAAGTCATTCTACTCTGTTCCATTCTCTCTAAATGACCAAAGCAGCTCCTCTTCATCCCACTAA